TCTTTCTTTCTTTCTTTCTTTCTTTCTTTCTTTCTTTCTTTCTTTCTCACTCTTCTTCACCACCCATCTCCCTCATAGAAGAGCTCTAAGTGGTGCATATTTTAATCAATATAATAAAATATTAAAAACTGGATAATTTAGAATTTTTAAAAAGTAAAATTGTAAAACAATTTTATAAATTTTCAGAGAGAGAGAGAGAGAGAGAGAGAGAGAGAGAGAGAGAGAGAGAGAGAGAGAGAGATGGGGCAAATAGGAATTGTTAATACAGGCAGCGGGGGGAGGAATCATGGTACTCATTGGGCCAGGCAGTCTTGTGGCTGTGTGGGCCCCTGTGTTCCCGCTCCCAATGCCAGGCTACACAGCCAGTTTTGGCCCCTTTGTGGAAAGCCAAGAGTTTTCTTAGAACTTCCTGGTTCCTTCTTTGTGTGAGTATAAATCTATGACAGCATCTTATTGCCAGTCTTGTGATTGCTGTGCTTAATAAGGCCGTGTCCTCTTTCGCCCAGATGGGCAAGCTAAAATTAGAGGACCTATAATATAATATAACAAGTTCCAAGAACTTGTCAGAACCTATTTTCTGGCCTCAAAGCAAGAAAGTTGAACATTTAAGCAGCCGTCACTCTTGAAGACCCAGGAAATAAACCCAAGTAATAGAGGTCATTTTGGGATTACTACAAAAGTGTCCTGAACGGTCAATTAAGGTGTAAACGGTTCTCAGAAAAGCTACTTTATATTGTCTTAAATGACATTAGTTATTTTCAGGTTTCAATTTTGAAAACAGCTGTTTGAAAGAGTCAGCCTTTTGGAAGTGCTCTAATGACCTCTTTCTAACAAATAACAAAATTACATTATGGTTGCAGTCACCGAAATAGCATGCATTTTTAAAAACTGATGGCGATGTTTTGTCACAAAGGGGCCGATAAACATCCTGTCTTAAAATAACTATGAAAAAGTTCTGGTGGGTCATGAACTTTTGTGTTCTCTTTGTTCTTCAGGTTTTCAGAAAGAATTTGGTCAGATAAATACACAAAAAATAATAATGTGTACTTATCTTTCCCATGCAGAACTGAGCACACGTTCCTGTTAGCCCAAACAGGAATATTAAACCTTTTAAAAATGCTGTATATTATTTAAAAAATTGACCAGTGCATGCACACACACATTATCTATCTATCTATGCATCTATCTATGTATGTATCTATCATCTATCCATCCATCCATAACTATGTATTTAACAGTCATCTTTCATCTCTCTCTCTCTCTCTCTCTCTCTCTCTCTCTCCCTATCTATATGTGTGTGTGTGTGTGTGTATCATTTATCATCTGTCAATCATCTAT